TTCTTTGGCACTGCCCTTCTTTGGGATGGGAATGTAAACTGACCTTTTCCAATCCTGTGGCCACTGTTGAGTTTTCCAAATTTGCTGGCATATTGAGTGTAGCACTTTTACTGCATCGTCTTTCAAGATTTTGAATAGCTCAGCTGGAATACTGTCGCCTCCTCTAGCTTTGTTGTTGCTCAGACTTCCTAAGGCCCATTTGACTTCACATTCCAGGATGTCTGGCTCGAGGTCAGTGACCACTCCATCGTGGTTATCAGGGACGTTAAGCTCTTTCTTGCCTAGTTCTTCTGTGTAATCTTGCCACCTCTTCTTAATCTCTTCTGCCTCTGTTAGGTCCCTGCCATTTTGGTCCTTTATCATGCCCATCTTTGCATGAAACATTCCACACTGCGAGTTTTAAAGTTTTTTTAAAAACAACTAGAATTTGCACATTGGAAGTGCTTCATATGCTAGATATCAGCCCCACCATTTGAGGGAGAGAAAACATGCAGCAGCTGGCCTGCAAGTGCGCAAGTGGTTGCTGCAAAGCATCAGCCTGGTAGCAATTAAGTTATGATTTACATAAAGATTCATGCAGGTAAAACACACTTTGCTTTTCTCTATTCAGTTACATTTAATCCCTTGCTGTTCGATTCAGTAAACTTCTTGTTGCTGTGTACTTTCTCCCAGTCCTCTGGGGCCTCGTCAAGAGGGTAGAAACTGATCCGCCAACGATTCCAGCAAGAGGAAGGCCTGAAGCAGCGAAGAGACTTAAAGCTCGTCCCTCCTCTTACGACACCGCAGTGCCCCCTCGGGGGTGATGGCGCTTGCTCTTGCATTTGTGTATTTTAGGCACCGTGTGCAATCTAAAACGGCTTGCCCTCAGTGCACAAGAACTATAACAATCTGATATTATACAACGTCTTCCACAAACATCTCTCACTTAGTTTTTAGATAATGTTCTTGGGGAGTAAATATATGAGCACTCTTTCTGAACCATTTTATGTATCATTCGGAAAGAAAACGTGCCATCATTCATTTTTCCCCAATATGTTTTTGGGAAAAAACACCTTTTTCTGAATTTTTCTGGTTCGTTCGCTTGCTTGCCTGGTGCCTTCGGATCTCCTGTGCTGCATCGTCGTGAGTCCTGGTTTCACTTCACCTCCGTCCATAGAATGCACTTCCACGAGATTTCGTGATAGGCTCTGTCTTGGATGGTTTTAAAAGTGGACTGGAGTACTGAGTTCAGTTCTGGGCCCCTCATTACAAGCGAGATATAGCCAGGTTGGAGTCAGTGCAGCTCCGGGCCACAAGGTTGGTGGCCGGTTTGCAGGGGACGGGGCATGAGGCGAGACTGAGGGAACTGGGTCTCTTCAGCCTGGAGGAGACTCAGAGGGGATCTGTTGGCGACATACAGGTATGTGAGGGGGTGTCACACGGAGGTGGGTAGAGACCTGTTCTCCCCTGCAGAGGAAGGCAGGACGCGCTCCAACGGAGCAAAGCTCAGGGAGCCAAGGATCCATTTGGATGCCAGGAAGCTCTTCCTGACAGTCGGGACCCCGAGGGTGTGGAATGGGCTTCCCCGGGAGGTGGCTGAGGCCCCATCGGGGAGGCTGTTCAAGGACAGACTGGACGTCCACATGGTGGGCATGTCGTGAGTGGAGCCAGCTGGATCCGGGGGTCAGACTAGATGGCCCGGGAAGCCCCTTCTGACTCGCCCTCTTTCTATGTTTCTGCAGAGGGTGAGGTTCTCCATGACGGCTGGTTGTGATGCACTGGCCGCGTCTGAACTAGGTCCAGGACCAGGGCCTCGCAGCCTCTGTGTGCCCCTCCTTGGCTCTTGCGTGCCCGTACTTCCCATGTGCATCCAGTTGGCCTCTCCGCACACCGAACACCAGGCTGCACACGATCCAACATGGGGCTCCCCTGCAGGACCCAGCAGAAGTGGCTCTGAGGCCTCCCGGTTCGCTGGCTTCCTGCCCTTCTGAAAAACGCAGAGACCGTCACGGGTCGCTTCCAGGCCAGTGGTCCTGGTGCATCAAGAGGCAGGGCTCCGCCTTCCCTGAATTCCCCCAGCTAAAACAAAGGTAGAAGCAGCGATGGGAGAACGCAGGTCCTCTGGACCCTCTGCAAGCATCACGGGACTGAGGCTTCGGCATTCAAAGCCGTCTTGGGATGCATCCGCAGCGAGCAAACGGGCCGAGGCCGTTCCAGAAGAAACAGCTGCACAGGAGCCCCCGTGGCCATTTGCGGGCCAGGCAGCCGGAAGTTCGCTTCCACCTGCCACAGGGCTGGCCTCGCACCCTGAGAGGGCACCTGCGCTAGCTGCTGCTCCTCATCCTCGCAGCCTGCCCCTCCCCCTGCTGGGGGCAGCAGATGCCACTTTCTACCTGCTCTGCTGTCCATCACCGAGGACGTGGCAGCCACAATGAGGAGGAGGAGGAGGAGGAGGAGGAGGAGGAGGAGAACCAGGACCTGCGAGCCACACAGTCAGCTCGATGGTGCCCAAGTCCCCCTCGCCTTCCCTCTCTCTGTAATGGACCCTTCTGCATGATGCATCGACAGACTGGAAGGGTTACGAACCTGGGATGGCCAAGCACCCGACCTCCCCCTGCCTTTCCATGAACGAGGAGGGCCGATAGCAGGATAAAAGCGTTGGGCAGTGCCTGGAACACGGGGCAGCCTGCGCCAGGAAAGGTCAACAAGCTCCTTGTGACCATGACAGCTCCCGCTCCCTGCCCAGGGCCATGCGCGGAGCGCCTGATGTTCGCCTTCTTCCAACAGCACACCTGGCTTCGTTCTCTCTCCCTTTCAGGGCTCTCACAGCCCAGGTGCCTGATGCAATCACCGCTCTCTTCCCGGCCAGCAGGCAAACTTTGCTGCCAGGAGGGAGCTGAGAACAGCAGCAGGGCCAGAGCAAACACGCGGCTTCTGGCACAAGAACCGGTGTTTCCCCAGAAGGGGAGGGTGGAAGAGGGCACCAACGGAAACAAATTTAAACTCCCAATTACAGTGGCACCTTGGCTCACGAACCTGCTCCGTTCCAGGACTCTGGTCGTGACCCAAACTGGTCATGAGCCAAGTCAAATTTCCCCATAAGGGTCAATGTAAATGAGGTTAATCCGTTCTGTAACCATTTTTTTTAGTCACAAAAATGTGAAACGAAGTGACAAAGAACAAGGAGTGCCCCCCCACCCCAAGCACAAGCGCGGCCGTCTCCCTGCCCCCCCCCCCCCGCACAACCAAGATGGGCCGGTCATCCCAGCACACTGGCGGGGGGAGGGGGTGGACAGGTGCTAACGGGGCGCGCTGGGGGAGGGGGAGGCAGGCACCATCTCGGCCACCTCCTCGCCCCAAGTGGGGAGGTGGCCGCTTTCGTGCTGGGGGCATGCGGGGGAGATGGCCGAGATCGCGCCCGTCTTTCCGGCAGGAGCGCGACTGCGGACGTGGCCATCTCCCCACCGGGGTGGGGGGGAATGGCTGCCATCTTGGTCACCACCCAATGCGGAGTTCATGACCCACGTTAAAATTTTCATGAAATTTTTGTTTGCGACCCGATTTGGTCATGATCCAAGGCATTCGTGAGCCAAGGGACCACTGTACTTAAAAAAGCACTGGGACCAATATGGGCACGGCAGCCCACAGTGACTCTTGCAGCAAGCTTTCCTCATATTTTCTTTAAAATATTTTCCACGTAGACGATACTGGCCAGAAATGTGCATCATTCCAAAACGCATGGAGTTCATCTCCTTTCCTGCAAGAAATGTGCTTCGGCCGGTGAGCGCAAACTTCCCACAGCACCCTCTCTTCCGCAGCGCGATCTTGCCTTGTTCGCAGCCCAGGACACGTGTCCGGGCTGTTCTTCAGCAATCCCTTTGCCTCCCCGTCCCCGCTGCAACAGCTCTGTGGTCACGGTGGACAAGCCCCCTGGGAAGGCCAGCCACAGGGAAGGTGAGGCCGCCTCCGCCTCCCTCTTTGTCAAAGGCCCAGCATGCACGGCCTCTCCAGAACTGGCCAAGTCCTGCAAGGGCACCCCAGAATCTTCCACCCAGACACCCACCCCCAGATGCCAGCACAGAGCTCGCTGCGGTCCAGGGCACCGAAGGGGGACACCGGCTTGCTTCTGCCTGCACTTGCAAATGAATATGTACAGGGGCCGCTTTCGAAATTGCTGGAATTTAAGTTGAGAAACAGCCAGCTTTCAATTTCAATTTCAGTTCCAGCATTTGAAATAGCTGGAATTTAAATAGGGAAGCAGGACGAGGTGACTCCAGAGCTTGCTCTCTCTGCTGTTCAGGTGCTGACCATGGAGGGGTGTGGGGCAATGTCCTCTGTCCTTGCCCCCCACCCCACCCCCCCAGTTTTATTGTTGGGGCTTCCTGATAAGTGGATAAGTTGCACGTGGCGGGGGGGGGGGGGGGGGAGAAACTTCCTCCCTGCACCTTGGGAAGAAATGGCTTGTGTCCTGCTGTTCCCCGTACGCGAAATGAGATGTATTCAAGGGAGGAGGGAGCAAGGTCCTCTCAGCTCTTGGACTACAACTCCCATGACCCTAACCATCAGCAGTGCTGGCTATAGATGGAAGGAGTTGGCTCAGGTTCCCCTGCTTAAGGGCTCTCTGGACACGTCCGTTGCAAAGGCAGCAACGGGGTTCCCCCTTCAGAGCCTCACCCGCCACCGGCCGTTTTCCCTGCAACCTTCTCTGTGGCACCCAAACGGATCTCTGAGCATGCACAGAGTAGCTTCTTGACCTCAGTCGAGTGTTTTCCTCCAGGAACTCTCCTTATGAGCATGCCTGGGCCCCATCCGCTCGGGAGGAGGGGGAGAGGCTTTCCAAAGGCAAGCAGGCCTTTCCTCTGAGCACCGCTCGTCCAGTTGGGCCCTCGTCCCTGCTGATGCCTCGCCATGGGGTTGAGACTGGGGGTCTGGTCTGCACCTGGGAATTCCTCATCCTCAGAGACCCCTACCCTGGCTGTCCATCTTGGCCATTCCCAGGAACGGCCTGGCTCGGTGAAGTGCCTGGCCTTGAGAGAGCCTCCACTCCCCCCCCCCCCGCTTCATCTCAGAACCTTGACCTGGCCCATGCTCCCCGATCTCGCTGAAATATCTCCAATGCTCAGTCATCTGGAGTGCAGCCAGGCATCTGTGGGAATGCCCAAGGCCACTGTCCTCCTCACTGCAGACACACACGGCATCCATGCGGCCTCTCCCAGGGCTCCAAAATCGAGAAATGCAACCGTCAGAACTCCACTTTGCTGCTCCCAGCCCTGTCAGCACTGGGGGCTGTCCCCCCCAAGCCAGGCCAGGCTTATCTTCAAGGTCCCCAGATAACAGGGGCCTGGGAAATCAGCTCGCTTTGCCAGGCATGCCCGTTCGCTGGGCATATAAAGGCTTGCGAGGCTTGTGTCCTTCACCCATTCAAGATCAAGATGGCATCCCTCTGGCTCCTCACCCTCCTGGCCGCCCTCGGTGCTGCTGCTGGTGAGTGTCTCAGCCCTTGCAGTCCCACTGGGCAAGAGGCTGGACTGGGGCGGGAGAAGCAACACCTGCCCTCTTCGGCACCTGGAGAGGTTTGCCCACTAGGCTGGGATGCAGGCTTGAGGGCTCTCTCCGTCTCTCTGAAGAAAGTGTCACCGGGGACAGGTGCCACGGTGGGGTTGGGTCCCACTGTCTCTGAGCCACGGGTCACCCTTGGCATCCACGTGCCCTCTGCTCCTACGGGAGAGGATGCGATGTCGGAACCAGAGAACGGCGCGTATGCTCCTGTTACGACTGGCGTTGGAGCAGAGTCAAGCCGCCGAGCGGGAAGAGCCCACGGTGCCTCCTGGGAAGCAAAGGCTGCTCTGCTTTCTGCATTGTCATGGCAGTGCCGTAGCAGAAACGGCACCATCAGGATCGAAACGGCAGGACGCTTTCGTTCTTGGGGACCATGGCCTTGTCTGCCACCCCACTCAGGCTCCCTGCCCGCAGTCCGGAGCCAAGGGGCCATCCGGGCCCTTCCAGCAATTCGGCAGAGTGTCGCTGAACACTGGGGGAGGACGCTGGGGGACGCCAGCAAGCCTTCTCTGAGCCCCCTCCCAATAGCTGGCTGCCTTTGGATGCACCGAGGGACGTTGGCTTAGCCGTGCTAAAGGGAGTTTTCTCTGCCCCCGCCGTCAACCTTCACATGCGGAAGGGTTTTTTCCTTCTCCCCTTGCTTGACCAACTCATTGCCTTTGGTAACTGTCAAATGGGGATTCCCCTGAAAAATGATGGGGTGCACTTTTAACCCTTCCTGTGCCACTGGGGGCTTGGCGTAAAGTCCAAAAGTCTCCCCCGTGGAGACTAGTAGGAGCAAAAGGATAAAGAAATAAGATTTTCTTGAGAAGAAGGAGTTTGGGGGAGGGGTGGATTAACACACCCAATTTAGGAAGACCCTTTTCTTTTTTCAGCTGGGGAGGGTGCACAAATCACAAGAGCAGCCTCTTCTCAGCAAAGGGACCTTCCCTTTGGGACCGGTGTTTTCCCAGCTGAGGGCTGGAATTCGCCCTTTTCAAGCGAACGTGAACAATTGCATTTACGTGCTATGGATTTTTTTAATGTGCACATCCATGCGCAAGCCAACCGCAGAAACATGGGGTGGCTCCTCCAAAGGGCCCCAGTGGTGTTTACTTGTGGCTGCCAACCGGTGGACTCGCCAGACACCTTTCCTGATCTCCAGGAAAAGCGAAATGAAAAGGGAATAGTATGTCTCTGGGCAGCACCAGCTCATGGCCTTCGAAATGGAGATGAGCACCATCCTCCGCGAGCCACTGGCCACGCAGGGAGAAATCCGCAGGGACTCCAGTGCGGCAGTGGCGGGGAAGATGCCTGCCCCTTGGGATCCCGGCGGAGCACTGGCGTGGGAGGAGGGGCCCACCTACCCAAAATGTGCCAACTGTCTGCCAAGCACCCCCGGCGCCTCGGGCGGCTGGGCCATGCGGCACTGCTCACTCCACGGGCGGGGGGGGGGGGCGTGTTCCCATCGTCCCAGCTGGCTGCTGGCTGTGGAGGGAAAGGGGGTCTTCTCAGCAGCAGCGTATCGTTGCAACCTCTTCCACTTGCGGCGCGAGGTCTTTGAGGATGATCTGGTCCTAAATCAATGTGATTAACCAAACCCACTGCTTCTGATGGGGATGAGAATGGCTAGGATGGATGCCAGTCTGCATCGGCGCAGGCAGTCTGCGTGGCCCTCTTTGCGGCTGCGGGGCACGGCTGTGGTGATGCGCGGTGGTGCTTTGTCGTGTGGGAGACTCATCCTGGTGTCACACTGGAAGGGACGCATGATCCTGGACCATGAGGCAGGGATATTCTGGGCTGGGAGTCCATTAATAAAGATGGCCTTTTGTATCTGGTTTGGGGAACGCTAGGTGTAAGATGAAGGGCACCGGCGACGAGCTCCCGGGTGAAGAAAGGCCTCCCGCGGCACTGGCGCTGGGCACACGGCGTTCTTGCAAAAGCAAAGCCAGGTGTGTCGCCGCGTCGGGATTCCTGGCGCAGGCCAAGCCAATCTCCCACATCCCACTAGCGAATTTTCTTTTTCCAGAGTTAGCTTTTTGTTTTTCCCGCAGGCTGTGGCATTCCTGCCATCCAGCCCACGCTCAGTGGCTATGCCCGCATCGTCAATGGTGAGGAGGCAGTGCCTGGATCGTGGCCGTGGCAAGTCTCCTTGCAGGTAAGCAGCTGGTACCACATCGTTTGGTCTGGAGCCCCGAAAGCGCGAGTGAACTGAAAGGGGAGCGCCAGGAGAGCTTCTTCACGTCATTCCCCCTCTTGTCTAACCTGCCTGGTTATGGGATGGCAGGGGTCTCTGAACAACACCTCTGAGAGGGTCCAGGCTGTGGAAGTTGGTCTGCTCCATCCAAACCAGGAGCATAATGGTCCACCCGCTCAGGGGGCTGCTGGATGCAGCTGTGGCTGCTGGTTTGGTTGGGCCAGGCTGGCTTCCCCAGCCCGGACCCTGCAGGTGTGTGGGGCCAAGCACCTCTTGTTCCATTGCCAGGCAGGTGAGGCAGACGCAGAGAAGGGGAGGAATCTGCCTGCATCTAAGGCCTGCCGTGCAGGCTGCCAGCTCCTGACCAAGATAAATGAGCGGGCCATCCCCTCCCCGTCGGCAGATGTTCCTCTAGGTCCCGGCTGTGGCTGCTTCCGTGCCTGCTTGATGGCGGAGGGGAACCCCACTCCTGCGGTGCGGAGAGGGCGGATGCGCTGCAGCAGGGACACCGGCTGGCCCTCCCCAGCAGCTCACCTGTTCTTTCCACCCCCCAGGACAGCACCGGCTTCCACTTCTGCGGAGGGTCCCTGATCAGCGAGGACTGGGTGGTCACTGCTGCCCACTGCAACGTCAGGTGGGCAGGTGTCGCGCGTGTGGGGGCTCGCTGCGAGTCGTCGCTTCCTCAGGGGACAGGTTCCGGGGCGCCGTATTCTGAGGAAGGCGGGCTCCCTGGAGGGTTTGCCCATTTAATGCCACAGGCAAAACCTCCCATGTGTATTACTATTATTGATAGCATGACTTGTGCATTAATATCTGTATTACTATTATTATCATTAGCACTACTAATAATTTCAGTAAAATTATGAATAGGAATAGGAATATTATTGATAATGTTGTTAATGCATTCTTATTTCATTATATAATCTATTTGATTTGCATCCCACCTTTCTGCCAAAGAAATGGTGCCCTGGCAGCCCACAATAATACCAGTAGCAGAAAAAGAAATGCACTCTGCATGTCCTCAGAAGCACTCTTACCTAGCACAGTGTATCCCGAACGTATTTATTACTTAAGTACTGGAATTATTTGTGCACAAAATGAGAGGCACTTAAATGGCGGTGAAATCCAGTTGGCTGAGGAAGAGAATGATATGCAGCGGATGCTGAGCCGGCATCTGCTCACAGCCCTGCTGGGACGCTGCGACCCAGGAAACGCTCCAAGGATGCTGGGCATTGGTGCTGGACCTGATTCCTGCTCGAGAAATGGCTGACGTTCCTCACTTGAACTCAAGGGCTGACCCGGGCAAGCGATTCTCTCCCAGCTGCGATGCCTCCTGGCCCCGGCAGGCTGGCCAGCCAGCTCTGCCTTTCCAGGTCGGGGCTGGAATTAGTGATGTCGTGCAAAGCGCTGCATGTATTCCTGTGCCTGTTTGATTGGGGAATGCACCTTGTGTCGCCTTCATGACTCCCTCTTCCATGCAGGACAAGTCACCTGGTGGTGTTGGGTGAATTTGACCAGCGCCATCCTGGAGAAGATGTTCAAATCGTAAAGATTGCCCAGGTGTGTAAGGACACATCGATCTCCCCAGTTTTCAGATACCCCTTGATGCATTTTGGCCCGAATTAACGGCTCCTCCAGGCCGAGGTACTGCAGGCACTGGGTTGCAAAGTCTCTGTTCTTCCCATGATTCCAGGCTGCAAAACGCAGCAGCATCTCCATTCCAGTTCTTACTTCTTTTGCTCCCCAAAATGCATCCGCTCTGTCGACCTTGCAACTTCGCTCTCAGGATCACCGCCTCCTCTGGAGACACACGACGTGGCAGCAGCCACACTTCATGCAGGGAATTTTGCAGCGGTCATGCAGAACCATTGCCGCCTCTAATCGTCCCCGGTCCCCCCACCAGCTCCCCACCACCAACCGCGGGGGCAGCTTCTTCAGGTGGAGGAGCTGCGCACTCTCTTGGCTGGACCTGAGCGCTCGCCTTTCCTTCGGCAGGTCTTCAAGAACCCCAAGTACAACATGTTCACCATCCGCAACGACATCACGCTGCTCAAACTTGCCACCCCGGTGAAGCTAAGGAGACAGGTGTCCCCTGTGTGTCTGCCCAAGGCCACGGATGTCTTTCCAGAAGGCATGACCTGCGTCACCACCGGCTGGGGCCTGACCAACCCCACTGGTAATATCCTGGCACTGGCCCGAGTGGCGAATGGGCAGCGGAAGCTCTTGGCTTCAGCACTAGTGGAACAAGGCTCTGGTTTAAAAATCCAAACCTGTCGCCTGTGCAAAAGATGCCCAGGAATCCACGAAAAGTGGATGGGGCAGCTTCGACAAAATCTGCGCATTTCTCCTCCTAAATGTGCTCAGCGTCAGGGCAGTAGAAGAAGGGCAGCAGGCGGCAAAGCTTTGGAGACAGGGTGATTTGGGCTTGACTCGGTGGGAGGGGCCTCTAACCTCTTGGGCTGATTCCCTTGCACAAGTCGCTGTGCCAGGCGCTGTGCCTGACTTAAGTTGTGGAGGAGCAAATGTGCAGACACCCGCTAGCAGCGAACTCGGCTCCCGAGACCGGGATGGGATGGGATTTCCATCCGGGCTGTATCTGGAAGCAGAGAAGGCTTGTCCCGCACCCACTGCAGCCCTGATCCAAAGTTGCTTGTAGGAGGTGCAAGGAGCCTCCAGACAGCCTTCCCCAGGCCTCCTGTCCGAAGCCTGGCCAACCCCTGAGCACCCAGCTAGCGCGTGCAGGGTTCTCGCGGGGAGCTACTGCAGGGCTGGAATGAGAAGGGAAGGGGCGCGCTTGCACCGTGCAGCAGGCCTGAAGCCCGTGGAGGACGGACTGAAATATCCCACTGGGTTGCCGCTGCCTGTATCTCGGTGAACCCCTCTGCCCGTGTGATCTATTTCAGACAAATATACTCCGGATAAGCTGCAGCAAGTGGCTCTTCCCCTCTTGTCCAACGAGGGGTGCAAGAAATACTGGGGCAACCGCATTGCAGACGTCATGATCTGTGCCGGAGCTGCTGGAGCCTCTTCTTGCATGGTGGGTCTCCCCCAGCCCAGCCCAGTCCCCGTACTTGGGGTCCCCAGCGTGGGGCCCACCATCTCCCCTCTCGGCCCTTTCCGGGGTTCCTGGACATCCTGATTTTATGGTGTGACGCCCTCACGTCCTTATTTTGAACCGGGAGGCAGTGGCGTATTGGAAGTGCTTCCCTCCAGAGCCCCCTTGATTCGGGTTGCACAGAGTTCCTTTGCTTCTGGAGGCAGTTTCCAGGCAAGTGGCTTTTCCCTGGTCCTTTTGAGAAGTCCGTGCACTGGGGTTGCCCGGCCTCACCGTCCCAGCCGTGCTATGACTAGAATCATAGCATCCCAGAATAGTAGAGCTGGAAGAGGTCATGAAGGCCATCGAGTCCAACCCCCCGCTGTTGCAGGACAACAAGTCACACCCTCCCACTCAGAGGGCTGCCCAGTTTCCCCCTGAATGTCTCTAGTGTGGCAACCCCCAGCAGCTGTTCTGTAACAGCCTCTGGCAAAATTCCACAGGTAGCCACTAAATCAAAAGGTAGGGGGGACTTGGTGTGCCAGCCCTCCCCAAAGGCCTCCCCCCCCCCGAGATGCTCGGTCACAGCAATGGCCTTGGAATCTCTGGGTCGCTTCCTGGGGGTCTCGCGTTGCTGCCCATCCTTTACCACTGTTGCTCTTGCCCCTGGGCTTGATCCCTGGGAGCCGTTTTTGCCGAAACCCTGCCCCTCAGTCCCCGGGGCAGAGCACTGCTTGCTTCAAGGCACGCGCGTGTGTGTCTGCTCTCCAGTCTGCAAGGGGTCGGGCCTTCCCTCGCCACCTGGAAGGGGAGGCAGGGCTCCGAGGCCCATGGCAGGGAGAAGCCCCACATTCTCCCCAGGGAGCCTCTCTTGACCTTTTGCCGCGATGCCTCTCCGCAGGGTGACTCCGGTGGGCCCCTGGTGTGCCAGAAGGACGGCGTCTGGAAACTGGTTGGGATTGTGTCCTGGGGAAGCAGCCGCTGCTCCCCATCCATCCCCGGGGTCTATGCCCGTGTCACGGAGCTCCTTCCTTTCATCCAGGAGGTGCTTGCCAAGAACTAAGCCTGCTTGGCTGTGGAACAATAAAATCTTCATCCACCACCCTCGTGTGTTTTGTCTTGAGCCTAAATTCCAAACTGGTGCCCATTAATACATATGGTGGGACCAGATCCCACCTTTTAGCTGCCCAGGAGGACCTGGGCCAAGCACGGGTAGTACATCTCTGCCAGCATCCAGCACAATGCTGCTCTCACGGGGTGTCATGGTGGCACCCCAAAGCACTCAGCCTAGGCTACTTGGGCGGAAATGCCACTACTTCCTTAAGACGTTTTCCAGAAAAACTGAACTTGGAAATGTTTCTGGCTTCTGAATGCCTTCTGCTGACATGACTCTTGACATTTACGCTGAGGAAAGAAGACTAAAAAGCACACTGTGCCAAATTTACAAACTGCATAAATACCTCAAAAGCTTTTCCAATGATCAAACGTATTTGTTGCGGGTGGGGGAATCGATAGAGCCAATTCCACATGGCTTAGTTCCTAATAGATTCAAACCATTTTCAAAGCATTCTTTCAAAATAAGTAGTGTGCAGGCCCCTCTGTGATTTGAATTTCAAGAAAGAGAAAGCTTTCTAAATCTACACTTTGTCCAAATAAATAAGGCGAGTTGCTTCGTGGGCATAATCCCCTCTTTGATGGCTTTTCTAGACAGCACACAGCTTTCTTCCAGCCAAGCACTTTTGACTTCATCCAAGGGGTGGGTTTCTGGGTTTGGCCCCTACTTCTGACCCCCGAGCAGGCAGAACATGAAAAATGTGCCTACGTTTTTTTACATTTCTATTCAAATCAGCACATGGTAAGGCTTTTCATGGATACTGGGATCTGCCGTTATTGGTGAAAATAATTCTAATGTCCTAGCTGGTTCCATATTACCTTATTATATTGTGTATTTAGGGGCGTCCTCTTTGAAAACCGAGCAGAGCGCCTTAGCTACTGAGCGATATCAACCTTTAATAAGCAAAATGAAATAAAAATGGCAGGCCCCGTTCATGGCGCTGTTTACAGAAGACTCATTTCAGCCGCACCTACACTGGAATAAAAAAGGAAAGGAGAGCATTCCGGGAAGGACTGCTCGACCCACGAAAAAGCGATGGGAGTCCGCACGGATCCTTGCTCGCTACGCCGATCGCCTCCTTCACTGCCTGCGCAAGCCTCCTCCTCGCCAGCTTCCCCCGGCAAGCGCCGCGGCCCACCTTGGTCCCAGGGCATCCCTGAGCCTTGCTCTGAACCGCCAGGTCTTTGTGCCCGCTCGGGGAGGGCGGGGGGGACCCTCCTCTCCGGGCTAATCGAGAGGGGCCAGCCCCCCCGGCCCCCCCCGGCTCCCCAGGCCCGTCCTCCTTTCCGCCCCGCGTGTGAGCGCTCGCAGTTGCACTGGCGCGCACGCTCTGGCCCGGAGGCCCGTGGCGGAAGCCAAGGCGCGAGTGCCGCTGAGCATGTGCAGACGGCTCCTCCTCGCGCTCTGCTGCGGCGACGGGGGCCAGCCGGCGCGCGCTCCCGGCCCACCTTAAGCCGCGGCGGCGGCCCCGCCTTCCCTCCCCCTTCCGGCCAGTGCCTCGGCCGGGCCGGCCTGCCTCCTGTCCCTGCGGGCAGCCATGGCTCTGCGGCGGACGCTGCGCTGGGCGGCGAGGAGTTACTCGCAAGGAGCCGCCAAGGTAGGGCGGGCGGGGGGCAGAAGGAGCTGCCGTCAGCCCTGGCGGAGCCGCGGTGGTCCTGCCTAGAGTAAACCCACTGAAACGAACGACCTCGGAGGCGACGTCAAGCCCCGCGGCTTTCAGCGGGTCTGCTCTACGTAAGACCCAGTCTGGATCCAGCCCCTTGGCGGGGAGCGTTCCCACGTGCAACCTGAGACTCGGGTCCTGCGTCCATTAACTCCGCTTGCAAGGAGGGGCTGAGGGCAAGGAGGAACTTTGCTCTCCGAGCAGGCAAAACAACTCCGTGTTTCCGCCTCCTCTCTGCCCTCGCCTTGGATAGGCGAGCTGCCCTGGCAGAGGTAGCTTTACCTGTTGGTTTTCTGCCCACGATGGCCCTCTGATGGCCCCAAGGGCCCCACCGGATCCAAAGCACAAGCTGCTTGCCCGGAAGAGGCTGTCGGGCTTGCATTAGCCAAGGGCTTGGACAGTTTGGCCAGCGCTAAAAAAAGGCCATGCTGCAAGCAGTGAGATAAGGCGGACTGGCGAGGCGCTCGGTTAAAGGTGGAGCGGCCTGTTGGTGCGGCGGGGGCGGGCGGGCGATTTCGGGGTGTGCGGGACTGCGGCTGCAAGCGGGTGTGGTGCAGCCCCCGCCCCTCCTCCGAACGGGTGTTGGAGATCCGTGAAGAAGTCCTTTCTATGCTTGACTGCCACATGAAGGAGGGAGATTGCTTCTGGGGACTTTAACGCACGAGTAGCTCTCCCCTCCCTGCATTTGGATTTGCTGCCATCCCAAGAGAGGGCTGTACCACATGTGCCATCACTGGGGCACCTCAGAGTTCATCCATTTTTCCTCCGTAGGGCAAAAAAAAAGGAAGGAAGGAAGAAAAAAATCGCTTTGCCGGTCATGCTTCCCGGCAGCGGGGAGAAGAACTTGCTGGCCGGGCTCTGCCTGTTCTCTGGCTTTTTCAGACTCGTTCTGCTGGAGGGGGAACAGCAAGAGCCGCGGGGCATGGAAGGAGCTGCCAAACAGGAAGCTAGGCGGAAGATGGCCAGGCTGCAGATGCAAGCGCACATCATCACCATGTTATTAGTATTATTCCGTACCGCCCATAGCCCAAGGTCTCTGCATGATCCACCACATTCCCCATCCAGTATTCAACCAGGCCCAACCCTGCTTAGCTCCCAAGGGCAGGCGGGCAGAATCGGCACTTCAGGCCAGTGTCGCAGGTGGCATGGAACATGGGAGTGCGGGGCCTGTGCAAAGAAAGTGCAAAAAAAGGCTTACTCTCCCCAGCATTGCACCTTGCAGGTGTTTGATGGGGTCACAACTCCCATCATTCCCAGGCAGCATGCCTGGAGGAGGCCAAAATGGGGGGGGGGTTACTCCTATTTCTATTTTTATTGTATCAGTTTGTTGTAAACTGTCCTGAGATGTCTGTGATGGGATAGGATGGAAAAGTTTTAAATAAATAAAAGTTTAAGTTTAAATACACAAGGCTGGCTGAAAATCTAGAGTTGGAAAGAACCTTAAAGGTGGTCTATTCTGCCAGTGTCAAAGGGCTCCTGTCTCATCTGCAAGGGGGTCACGCCACACTGCTAAAATGTTTTAGCAAAGGGAGGGCCACCACTCTTGCAGAGGAAACTAATCCCCGTGTACTGGTGAGACTGGTTTAAAATATTTCCAGTGAACACAGTGGGGCTTGCTTCAGAGTAAACCTGCCTAGGACTGGGTTGCTCTACATTGTTAGGGCTATTGCAGCAAACTGTTCAAATCATTTTTGAAAAGAAATATTTCAGTACAATATGATTGTTTTTTAAAAGCCATCAAAAGGCTGTGGAAAATTAATTTACACCAACGATGCATTTATCTGCTAGGGAAGAGGTCCGTAATCTGGGTGAATGTGTGCATTTGCAAATATTAAAGAGTGTTCAGCTGCTAAGTTTATCCATATTATAACCTGCTCCCAAAAAGAGGCAATTAACAGACATGGCTAAGATGATAGAGACAATCCCTGATTAAAGAGGCTTAATAAGACTTAATCTGAGATTCACTGAAACTTCAGTTATAGATCCTAAAGCCCATTCCCTGTTCCGTTCCTGCTTCACATGCAGTGTATTTTATTTATTTGCCAATAGCAAGTATTTTTAAACGTGGGCCACAGGTCGACAAGATCCATGACACAGCTTGCTTTGACTCAAAGTGCAACGACCAGCCAAGCTGGCCAGTCACATACAGAGTCTGTGACACGCATGTACTGGAAAGAAGGTTTTGGGGCCTATTAAATACAGACAGTTGGTGGTTCCCCATGTTCTTGTGCTGTTGAGCCTTTTTCAGACAGGGGGCTGGATTTACACAAGATACCGCAAAATGCTAGCAAATCTTTGAATAACGCTTTTATCAGGGGCTGGGAGAGGAATGAGGAAAGGGAGGCACAAAATCCGAGAATGGATAGGGAAATGGGGTACAGCCACCCTAGGTCCCTGGAGGGCCAGACTGAACATCAGACGGTGGAGAATGGAGTTCTGCAGTCCAGCCGTTCATCCATCCATCCATCCCAGGACTGTTGAATGACCGGCAGCTGCTCCCAAGGGTCTGAGGATGGGCTTTTTTCTAGCCCAGGCTGGAGATGCCAGCGATCAAACCTGGGACCATCTGCAAGCAAGCTGGTCCTGCCTCTGAGCGAAGTCTCTCCGACCAGCGAGAGCATCTGCAGCCTGGTTGTCCCGTGGACTGGAGCATTTCACCTTTGCTTCCTGCCCTTGCCCTTCACTCACCCGATGGCAGCACAGATTGTAAAGAGCTTGGCTTGCGCGTCGTGCAGGTCTGTCCACCTCCGCACCTGTCCCCTGTCCCCTGCCTTCTCTACAGTGTGCCTTGTGTCCTTCCACAGGAGTGGCTGACGGAAGGCTTCCTCGATTCACTGAGGGCTGTGGTGGGGAGCTCCAACGTGGCCACGGCAGCCGCTGTTCGTGAGCATCACGGCCACGATGAATCCATGCACAGGTACGGTGGCATTTCCTAGCATCCCATGGGTGCTGCAGTGTCCCAGGAAGGAGAAGTAGCTCTGTGCATCTGGGGGACCTAAGCATCTGGACTGGAGAGGTCGGGATATCGACACAGACAGTCTAGCTCTGGGGTCGGCAACCTGCGGCTCTGGAGCCACACGTGGCTCGAACCCCTCCGCTGCGGCTCCGTCGCTCAAAATGCGCCGGCACAGCCGCCGATCTGCTCGAAGCTCCACTCAGGCAGCCTCGCCGGTTCAGTAAATCGCTACATCCCGCTGCTAAACAAGCTTCCTGCAGGCCCTCATGTTACACTGAACATGCTGCAAGGATTCTCTTTGTCCCAGTGTCATCTCCTTCCTCTGAATGATAAAAGCTGCGCTTGGGACCTGTCACAATTCACAGCACTTGACTGTTTATCTGCTAATCAGTCACTAAACACAATCTGCTCTGATTTACTGAGCTTCCCCCACACCCCCCTGCCCACCCCAGGCCAACCATGGATAAATCGAAGAAAAGAAAAGTTTCTGAAGAAAACCAAACGTTTAATGGTATGTGGGTAGATTCATTTGCTTTATTGCTGACGAGCTTATGGGGTTTGCTGTTTAATGCATGCAGCCCTTTAGCACTGACTTTGACTCTGCAGGAAGCTGTTCTCCTATTCAAAATATATGAAAGGTGTCCTACTAGTTTATAATGTAAGAATAAAAATAACAGTGTTTAGAGACTGAACAAGAGCTGCACCTAAATCATAATGAAGAGATACATAGCAATAAGGTGAAAAACGATATATGCAGTGTGATCTTCATTTTAGATGTCAAAAGGGGTTTGCAGCTCTCGGAGTTTTCTTTCAAAGGGTCCAAACGGCTCTTTGAGTGTTAAAGGTTGCCGAGCCCTGGTCTAGCGGAGGTGGCCAAGGTGTGCCTAGCATCACGAAAGCACCAGGAAATAGACCACGGCGAACACGCAAGTGCGGGAGTTTGTCTCAGCAACCCGCATAGCTATGCAGCCAGGGAGGATGCAAAAGCCGTGCCAGCCGAGGGGATGATGGGATCAGCGGCCCGTTCTCGCAAGTGCTTTTTCCCAGGATCAGGTCTTTTGCTTCAAATTGCTAATGGTCTTAGCTGCCCATTCTCAAGCAAATTATGTGAAAAGACTTTGCACTGCAACAGGGAGAGCTTCCAACAGCAGACCGTCGCTGGCAAGACCCGTGCCCAGTGTAGCTCGACACCTCCGGGCAAAGTACGGACTGAGCCCGCAAAAAAGGTTGCTTACAGCACTGGATTTCTGCAGCAAACTTTGCAGGTCTTTCTCAAGCATACGGAGAGAGTGGCACAGCCTGACCCGACAACTGCCGACAACTGCCCTCCACCTAGCAATGGCTAGGTGTGCTGGGAATTCTGCCCCAAAGCGTCTGGAGGGCACCAGCTTGGGGAAGGCTTCTTGCGCCCACAGCTGCTGCAGCAACCAGTTAATTTTACTTGCTCTCCATAAAAAATGCTCGATACCGAATCACTTGTGCTCAGGACAAACCAGTACCCAGGCTCTACCTTACTGGAGGTGACTGGCGAAAGGCACGAGTTTCCAGCCGGTCCATTTGTTCGGCCACATGTTGCAAAAGCTGTGCCAAACTGTCCCCAGACCCACTGGTGGAATTCGGCTCTTGGCAGGGATGAATCCTGGGTTCTTTGTGATAGCCATGCACTGCCATTTTCCACCACTTGATGGCTTGCGCGTTTTTCCCCTCTCCGTTGTTACTCACGTTTGCACACGTGCGTTGTGCTGGGCTACATTTCATGGAGCCTTCCCTAGTCGCTGAAAGTTGTTGCTAACCAGCATTCTCTGGGAAGACTGCAAACAGCTGAAGGAATACTCCAGTCATGTTTTATTGCAATTAGCCAAAGGCCCTTACAAGATTTACCAAAGAGATAATCAGAAATTGAGAAAATCTGTTAAGAACAAAAAATTGAAAACATGATCAGAAGCAAAATAAAGAACTAGTTTAATTGCTAGCAATTAGCAGCCCCCTTTGATGCCCCCTTTGACCTAATTTTCATAGCTGTCCATGTGAACGGACACTCTGGGATACGTAAGCATCGTTGCCCAGTAACACGAGCAAAATGTTCCCAGATTCCAAGTATGCAGCTGGGCCCAGGGGAGGTCTAAAACATCTGGAAGGGCCCCGGGTTGAAAAGGGCCTCAAGGGAAGAGGATGGAATGGGCGGAGGTCAGGAAGTCGAGGCGAGGGCAGGGCCTGGGCCTTGAGCCAGGGCATTGCTGGGCTGCTCTCAGCCAGGCGACGGGGTGTTTGCAGCAGGCATGTCAGTGCCCACTCCGGGTTCTAGCGGGCCCTGGGCTGAAAAGCCGTGAGTCTGCCCTCCCACCACCGTGGGGCTCAGACCCCCACAGCTAGCGGCTCCTTTATCCTGTTGCGCTCCAGAGGAAGTGCAGCGGCTCTGAGCTGTCACTGGACACGATCGTGTGGGGTGGGGCTTTAGCTCTTCCCCGCCGCACTTCCTACCTGGATCGGAGCCACCAGGTTTGCCCTTCATCCTGCAGAAGAGCGATCTGCTAAAGCGAACGGGACAACTTCAAGCGCAGAGCCTCCCTGTGCCGGATCTGCTGCGGGATGAGGACGCTGGTGGCGGGGGAGGCGTGGCACCCGCGTCCAGGACCCCGGCTCCTCTCCCGCTGTGCGCCAGGCCTCCCGGCTCTTCCCCAGCTCCGGCAGCTGTCGCACCTTGTCCCTCTCTCTCAGGTGCTGCCCCCCCGACGCCGTGGTTTGGCCCCAGAATGTGGAGCAGGTCAGCTTGCTGGCAGCCGAGTGCTACAGCCGGGGAGTTCCCATCATCCCCTACGGCACGGGCACTGGGCTAGAAGGCGGTGTGAACGCTGTCCAGGTATGGCCGGCGCCTGGCAAGGTAAATGGGCGGCCCAGTGCCAGCTGCAGGTGCTGGAGGGCCCTTGGGCAAGACCCCCCATGCTCCCTCCCTCTGTGAGTCCTCCCTCCCACTGCGGTGGTTCCCAGCCGCTCTTCCCCCTCTTCCTCATCCCGGCCACCCCTGGCTAGCTTGGCAGGCAGAGGCGGGGGAGTGGGGGAGCCAGGGCACCTCCCCCTCCTCTGCCTCCCCCATCACCTGGGTGAAGGTGAGAGGCAGGTGAGCCCCGGACCGCAGCGGAGGCAAGGAGGAGCAACTCCGGGTGTGCACCTCAGCAGGGGGCTGGCCCTACTGGCCGTTGATGCTGGCCCTGGAGGGTGGGGGGCACAGTGGCAAGCAGGAGGTGGGGGGGGGGCGCTGAGCACGGAGCATGGCTGGGCTGGGGCAAGGCGGCGAGGTGGTGTGGGGCTGCCCCGTGTCGGGCCCACTCCTCTCTCCCTCCCAGAACAGCTGCCCTGGGGCTGACCTCGTGTTTGCCCTCTGCGGACAGGGCGGTGTGTGCGTCAACCTGACCCAAATGGACCAGGTCTCTCAGCTGAACCCCGAGGACTTCACCGTTGTGGTGGAGCCAGGCGTGACCCGGAAGGCTCTGAACAGCTTCTTGAGGGGCAGCGGACTCTGGTTTCCCGTCGGTAGGACTGGCTTCTGGGCAATTCTGGGAAAATCATGGTAGCCCCAGGAGACGGCCTGCTGAAAGTGGCAGGCTGGCCCTGTTTGGATGGCCCAAAATGGGGGAAAGAGGACACGGAAGGTGCTGAGCGGCACAGAATGTGCATGCAGTTAACGCAGAGTTATTTTTACCAGTGTGCGCAACATCTGCTAATTTACATGCAGTGGTGCACTTTTTGAAATAATCTTTATTTATTTATTTGGGATATTTCTAGCCCGTCCATCACTGCGTCTTTTTATTATAAATAAAAAGATAGGGCACTGTGGCTTGCAAGAGGGTGGCCAGGTGACCAGTGTCAGTCTTTTCAAGCTCTTGTGCAGAGCTGATGCAAAGAATATCTCAAACAAGCTGCAGGCACGATGCATTAATGGACACATGCTCTGCTGTTCCACCAGGCGAACGAAGCTCAGCTGGCTGACAATCATAGGGATGAAAATAGTTTCAAAATCTTTAAAGACTTGATGAAAGCGATAATAAGACAGATGCATGAAAATATGCAGCCAAAACACATTCTTTAAAATAGAATTGGACTGGATGGCCCTTCAAATATTATTTTATTTATGCTTTTCTTACATGCCTGCCCCTCCATGGAGCAGAGGGAGTCTCCTTGCCATTTAATCTTCACAACAACCCTGTGGGGTGGGGTAGGCTGAGGAGTCAGTGGCTGGCCAGGTGAGTAACATGGCCAAGTGGAACCCTGGCCCTCCCCAGCCCGAGGCCAGCGCTCTAACCTCTAGGCCACACAGTCTGTCAAACACAGGGCGCCATCCGAGGGAGGACAGTCCTGCAGGCTGCGCTCCCAGCAGAGGGCCCCTGGCAGAGGCAGTCTGGGGCCCGCCTGGTGGGCTCACCCCACTGTCCCATCTCCTCCGCAGACCCCGGGGCCGACGCATCTCTCTGCGGCATGGCTGCCACGGGGGCCTCTGGCACCAACGCCGTGCGCTACGGCACCATGCGCCAGAACGTGCTGAACATGCAGGTCGTGCTCTCCGACGGGAGGGTGCTGCACACGGCTGGGCAGAACCGGCGGCCCAGGTACGCCTCTCGCCCCCCCCCCCCCGCAGGTGCGCAGCCCTCTGCTGGGCCGACCCTTCCTTTCCTGCCCACCTCGAGTCGCCGGCACCGCTACGCCCACGCCGGCCCCCTCCGCTGCGGCGTTCTCCTGAGCGCACGCTCTCCCCCCACTGGTTCCCTCTGCGATGTGGGCAGCCTGCTGAGCCGCTTCTTCTGCACGTGCTGGTGCCGCACCTGCCTGGCGTAGCTTGGTCTCCATGGGTTTCTGGGGACAGGAAGCCCGTTTGCACCCACAGGGCCACGGAGATGCGCTCCCCACAAAAGGCACCTGGGCAGCCTCACACCTGCCTTTGCAGCTGACAAAACTTTAATTAATTTCAACGTGTATATGCCGCAGTCTCAGGGCGGCTTGCAAAAGTAAAAGAGTCTGATATAAGACTCGGAGTAAACGATGCAAAATGGTTTTCATTTCAGAAGAAATGAGATGGACTTTGTCTGAAATGCAGCTTGGGCACAGCTGAGTCCTTTGCAGTGGGAAGGGCCAAGGCCTGGGCTGCAGCAGTGCTGCTTGGCTTGATTGTGAGATCCGTGAGTTGGAGCCGGGTGCGAGACATTGCCTCAGGCAGACGGATGAGTGCTAGGGATCCTCCGCTAGGGGTTCATGATCAGTCCTAGAATGAAGCCTGCAGTTCCCCCTGGAGGAATCTTGCTCAGCAACTACATTCCAGCCGTTTTGGTTCTTGCTATTGAGAAACATCTGGGAGTCAAGATTCCGCTCTACATTCTGCCCAGCCCTGATTGACACCAGTTGCAGAATTCAGACTTTTTGCTGCATAATTGGGGGGGGGGTTAAGAAACACATGGGGTTAGCTTGCAATTGCTTTCCCTGACCTGACACATTGCCTTGGCCACCGGGAAAGAGCTGGTGAGAGTCGAAGGCCAGAACGTTTGGCATGCACCAACTGGCCTTCGGCTCTCACCAGCCCTTTCCCCAGTGGCCAAGGCAATGCACCAGGTACAGGCAAAGGTACAGTTAAAACAGTACAATGCCGCAGGAGACGGAATATAGAACGCCATGCAAATATTTCAAAGAATGAAATGCGGTATGATGCAAAACCAGAGACGGCAGAGGCCCCAAATGGAAATGCCACGGAGCGCAATTGCCACGGGGTGCCAGCCACTTCTCAGCCCATGGGGTTTCCCCTCCATTGTCATTCAAATTCTCGGCTTCCTCGGATTTGTCCCCAGTGCGGCATGTCCACGAGCCCCCTTGGGAGTGGAGTTCAGCACCACGGAGAGCTCCCACGAAGCTCTTGGGCGTTGCAAAGCCGAGGGGCAACAGAGGAGGAGTCCCACGGGGAAAGGGGTCACCGGCTGCCTCCCCCGCCCCGTGCTCTCCAGATGTGCTGGTCTGAACAGCCCTCGACTGTCCGGCTCATGCACTAGCCTTCGCCAACAGGTGTGCTGGGAGGGGGGTTGAAGTCGAACACATCTGGGCGGCACCTGCCTGGGCACAGCTGGTGTGAGGCTCATGGCAGCCCTGTGGCCTTTGGCTCCGCCCCCGTGGCCTTCAGCCACTCCCATCGCGGCCCCCGGGAGTTCGGTCCCCAGTGGGCCGAGCCCCCTGAGGCTGGCGTGCCCGGCAGCTTGCTCCGACAGGAGACGCCGCTGTCCCACGCAGGGCGCGGGCCGGGAACCTGTGCGGTCACTCGCTCTTCACTCGCAGGAAGAGCGCTGCCGGCTACCACCTGACGGGGCTCTTTGTCGGCTCGGAGGGGACCCTCGGCCTCATTACCCAAGTCACGCTGCGCCTGCACGGCATCCCCGAAGCCACCGTGGCGGCGGTCTGCGCCTTTCCCAGCGTGCAGGCGGCTGTGGGCAGCACGGTGCAGATTCTCCAAATAGGCATCCCCGTTGCCCGCATTGGTGAGTCGGATGGGGCTCTCCGGGAGACGGGTGGGCAGGCAGGGAAGGGGAATGCGGGGGAGGCAGGCGCGTGGCCAGTGAAGAATCGGGATGCTTCCTCCTCTTCGCCTCCGTCTGCTGATCCAGAATGGCTTGGGTGTTTTACAGCGGCCTGCTGTATCTTGGCAGAGTTTATCATTTTAGCAGGGGCAGGTCCTTGGCATTGTGAGCATTCCAAGAAGAATTGTGCCTGCCACTGGCGGAAGGCGTGTCTCCTTCCAGGTGTGCCTGCCTGCCCCTTGAGGTCTGGGGCAGGCGCCCTTCTCCGGGAGCCCTCCGTGGAGGAGATGAGGAAGGTGACTACCTGGAGGAGGGCCTTCTCTGTGGTGGCGCCCCAATTGTGGACTTTGCTCCCCAGAGGGGTTCACCGGGCAACTTTATTCTTGTCGGCACCCGGCCAAAACCATTTTTATAATCCCAGTGTTTTAAGGCCCAGCTGTTTTAATTGGGGCTTTATTGTTAGTTGAATTTTTAGGATGCTGTGTTTATATTTTTTTATTGTCAAACTGTCCCAAAACTTCAGTAATGGGACAGCCTAGAAAACAATCGATCAATCAATCAATCAAAATCAGAGAGTCAAGACAATGGCTGGCCAAGGTCTCCTTGTAGGCCAGGGCCACTGGGCGACTGTTTCTTGCCTTTGTGGACGTTTTTACAACAAGAAAGGAGCTGGAGGATGCCGTGGGCAGGCGGGCTACAAAGCAGAGATAGTGACAATGGCTAGACCCACCCCATCTGCATGTCCGTGAATAAGGCTGCCCAGCCAAAGCCTTGTCTGGAAGAACCCCGCAGCTCTCGGCAGCCTCGTGTCCTGGGCACGTAGCTCCCACGCCGGGGGGCTCCCGGCGATTGGCGGGGCTGCTGCGATGTCCCAGAGCACCGTTCCACCCGCAGCGGGAGGGGGAGGCCTGGAGAGCACGTCAGCCAAGCTGTTTCGTCCAACCCAAAAGACGCTTTGCTCCACGGAGAGGCCTGCGCTAATGCACAGAATCATGAGAATCCGTAGGCTGCCCAGCCTCAGCCCTAGCTCGCCGGGGATCCCATCCCAAGGCTTCCCAGAGGGCCATCTCCATGCTGCCTTTTCCCCGACCTTTTCTGTGGTCTTTTCCGCCAGCCATCCAGAGAGGTTGCCTTGAAGCTCTCCTTGAAGCTCAATTCTTAGTAAGGCTTAGAAATGCTGGTCCAGTGGCACCTTGGCTCACGAACTTGCTCCGTTCCAGGACTCTGGTTGTGACCCAAACTGGTCGTGAGCCAAGTCAAAGTTCCCCATAAGGGTCAATGTGAATAAGGTTAATTCGTTCTGTAACCATTTTTTAAATCAGAAAAATGTGAAGCAAAGTGACAAAGAGCAACAAGGATCGCGGCCATTCCCCCCGCCGAGCGCGAGCGGGGCCATCTCCCCACCCCCCCAGCACGACCGCGATCGCGCCCCCACCCCTGCACGTGCCCGTCACCCTGGCACGCTGGCAGGGGAGAGACGGGCACCGTCGTGCTGGGCAGGGGGATGGCCGAGACCACGGTTATGCTCCTGCAGGAAAGACCCCCGCTGCCCATCGCAGTCACGGCTGATGGCTGCGATAGCAGTCACCACCTGACGCAGAGTTCGCAACCTGAGTCAAAATTTTTATGAAATTTTTGTTTGCGACCCGATTTGGTCATGAACTGAGGCGTTCGTGAGCCGAGGCAGCACTGCATTTGGGGGCCAGTCTGCTCCCGCCCCCTTGTCTTTGCCCTGTCCACTACTGGGATGTGGCCCCGGAGGTGGGATTCAGCCCCACAGCATGCATGCATGCATTTATTTTATTTATTTATTTATTTATTTATTATTTATTTATTTATTTATTTATTTAAGTTGTTAGATGCCGTCCAATACTAAAAGTCTCTGGATGGCTTACAAAACACAACACACCAAAAAAAGCAACAAACAACACACAACAAACTACATCTGATAAATGATGATAAAATCAAGGATAAAACCAATTAACTGTTAAAATATTGGGAAAATAAAAAAGGTCTTTGCCTGATGCCGTAAAGAATAAAGTGATGGTGACAGGCAAACCTCCTTGGGGAGCGTGTTCCAAAGTTGGGGCGCCACCACAGAAAAGGCCCTTCTCTGGGTAGCCACCCTCCGAATTTCCCTCCAAGAGGACTTTCCCTCCAGAGAAAGACCCCCACCTCAGATCTCAAGGGGCAGGCCGGCACATGGGGAAGAAGGCGCTCCTTCAGGTATCCATGTGTAGGGCCTTATAGGTCATCACCAGCACCTTAAATTGGGCCCAGACGTCCATGGGCAGCCAGCGTAGTCGATAGAGCACCGGCGCGACATGGGAGCATTTTTTCCGCAGCACCCCTGCTGCGAAAAAATGCGCCCCCCCTTCCCACCCCCTCGCCACATTGTGGCTCCGGCCCCAGCCAGCCAAGGCCACGAAGGGTGCCTGCCGTGCACCCAGAACTCTGCCCCCAGCGTTCCGAATTCGGGGCGGGCCGTCGCTCCCCGTTCCGCATCACGCGGCCCCGTGTCTTGCTCCAACAGCCTCCTCTCCCCCCCCCGCCTTTCCCTCCAGAGTTCCTGGATGACGTCATGATGCGGGCCTGCAACCGCTACAGCGGCCTGGGCTATGCCGAGGCGCCCACCCTCTTCCTGGAGTTCCACGGCTCCGAGTGCAGCGTGCAGGAGCAGGTGCAAGCCGCCGGTAGGTCCGCCCCGGGAGACAAGGGGCGCTGCGCCCCGACCCGGGAGGGGCCCGCAGGCAGAAGCGCCCGTCCCTCAAAGCGCCTGCCTCGTGCCCGGAAGGCTCCAGCGCGGTTCCCAGTGGGAAGGACCCTGGAGCACCTGGCCGGCCTGTGCTCTCAGCCGCCGCCACCGCTGCCGCTCCTGCGCTGCAAAGCTCTCGTCCTCCTTGGGGGGCACAGCAGCCGCGGGCCAGTGACACACGGCTGTCTCCGCAGGGGAGGTTGTGCAGTCAAACGGCGGCTCGGACTTCGTGTGGGCGCGGGAGCAAGAGGCTCGCAACCAGCTGTGGACGGCCCGGCACAACGCTTTTTATGCAGCCCTGGCCCTTCGCCCAGGCCGGAAGGTGCGTTGCAGGAGAGAAGGGCAAGCACTGCTGCGCCCGGGCACTGCTGCTCCTTTCTTCCACTCCGCGGCTTGGCTTACTCTTCCGAGTTACCCAATCACTCTCTGTGGCGCTTCTCTTCCTCCTCAAACAATGAAGTCCCCTCTTCTGAAAGCTGTCACCTCAGTTACAGGGGATGAGAGTGAGCCACAGTGGGATCCCCACATTTTGGATCGGCAGCCGGAAAGGGTATTCTGGGGCTTTGTGAGAGAGCCGCTGGCTTTCTCGCAAAATGACTGCTGGTCAGAAAGCGCCCTTCCCAGGAGGCAAACTGGGGAGACCAATAACCTAACAGCCAGGCAAGGGAATTCCAGGGCTTTGTGCGTTTTTGAAAGGGGCGTCCTCCCTCCTCTTCCCTCTCGCCCTGCAGAGTTACACCACAGACGTGTGTGTCCCGATCTCGTGCCTCCCTGCGATCCTTCTGGAAACGAAGGAAGACCTCCTCGAGTCCAAGCTCACGGGTGGGTTGCTTGAAATCTGCAGGCTTTGCTGTCGCCGGCCATCCACCCACGCCCTGCACCTCCCCCAGCGAAAAAGTCAGAGATGGATGCTCCTTCCATCACGCATGATTTGAAAGCATGAATGTATTGGGGCAAAGAAAGAGCCACGGTCATTGCAAGCCACCCTAGCCAAGGAGTAGCAGAGCAGCCTTCTCCGAGCCGGTGCCCCCCGGATGCGTTGGCGAACAATGCCCAGAATCCTCCGGTCAGCACAGCATTGTGAAAGATGTTCAGCTGCCTTTCAGAATCACTAATCACCCCATCTCCATTCTATAACGGTTGGCTCCTTCCCGTCCCGTCCCATTTCTGGTGATTCTCATTTAAGAAAAGCACGCCATCTTTTCTCGACAGTGTCCTTGGCCGGGGCACTAGTCAGTTGCCCAGCCAACTCCTGCGCGGTCTTGTTCGGCAGCCTGCAGCGTTGGCTGTAGTTGTTGCTGTCAGTACAGTGATACTGGGAGCAAAGTGGGGATGCCAGGGACTGCCCCCTCCGCTTGTCAGGCACCAGACATTCCCTTCGGCGGGGTAATTTCTCCCTTGCTGCTGAAGGGAGAACCGTCAGCATGGATACGCTCCTCTTCTTCGAGCAGGTGGTGGAGCTTGGTGGAAGCAGCAGCGGCGAGATGCTGGAAGCCAGAAAATCTCCCCATGCACTTCTGCCTTGCTAGAAAGCTGTCAGTCCTCCTTAGCAGAGTGAACCTGCCATCGTTTCCCTTACCTGGAATGCTGAAGGCACACTGCAGGATTCTTGTATAGATCATCTGTGCTATCTGATGGGGCAGAACTGCAGGCCTAGGGGCTGAACCCAGCCCTCCCGGGTCTCGGTCCACCCCCCCGACACTCCCCCCCTCGCGCCCCCAGCCCTGTTGTGGATTCTTGCCTTTTGTGCGTTCCTTCCCCCTCCCCAAAGTTGAAGTTCCCCCTCCTTAGGGCACAGTTGCCGGCAGTGAGAGCTGCAAGCTGAAAGATGTTGCGGAAATGTGACCACTCCCCCCGCGGGGTCTCCCGAAGTGTTGGACTCCAACTCCCATTCTTGCCTAGCTGCATATTCTCTGCTCTTGCTGCCTGGGGATCATGGGAGCTGCGATCGAGCACAGCCAGAGGGCTCCAGACATGTGAGGACTTGCTCACCATATTGGATTGCAATCAGGGAGACTCACATCAGCTTTCCGGGGAGGCTTTTGCCAAGCATAGTCTCAGCTCTCACCTACCTCACAAGGCTGTTGTGCCCGCAGAGCCCTGACATCACAGATTCTTGAATTATCAGTCTGGGAAAAGGCAACACTTACAGTGAGAGTGTCCGGTGAAAGATCGGGCAACCACATGTTGGGGATTACATGCCTGGAGCCAGCTGGAGCCGGGGGTCAGACTAGATGGCCCGGGAGGCCCCTTCTGGCTCACTTTGTTTTTGTTTCTGTGTTTCCTGGCTTCCCATACACACACAGAACACCATTGGTACACACGCTCTGATTCTTCTGGATTAACTGTTTGACCGGTATGGGGCCAACGGTGCAGAAAACAATTGTCTCCTGTTTTCCCGCAGGTCCCATTGCTGGCCACGTAGGAGACGGCAACTTCCACTGCATCCTCTTGTTCGACCCCGAAGACGTGGAAGAAAGTGGCAGAGTGGCCATGTTTGCAGAACGGCTAGGCAGGTTGGGTTTGACTCGGTCCCGCTGGGCTGGGCTGGGCTGGGCTGGCACGCCGAAGGCAGAGCTGCCTGATCCGCCCTCTCCAATTTGGCCCTTGTTTCCGCTGACGGGCAGCCTCGGCAAGCAGAAGCGGCACGCAGGGTGTGGGAGGTGTTCCAGCAGCCCGAGCCTTCCTGCCTGGCCTGCCTCGGCCAAGTGCAGAACACCGGGACTCTCTGGCTAGGGATGTGCTTCTCGGCTGCCTTCCCTGCGGCTGTGTGGCTGGAGCTGGTGGGGGCCGGGAGGGAGAGCTGCATGGCGGGGATGGCTCAGAGCGCCAGTCCTGCAGCTCTCGACGGGAAAGCGCAGGGACACCGGGGCCCTGCAGCAGGACTGCAGCAGCTGCTGCACGGAGCCCCATCGGCTGCTTTCTCGCTGCACTGAAAGCCGCGGCAGGCAGGCAGGCAGGCAGGCAGGCAGGCAGGCAGGCAGGCGGTGGGGCTCGGCACAGCGCCCCCTAGAGGCAGCAATGGGGCCTCTGCCTGCGGTGCGGTGTGGCGCCACTGCTGCGCCTTCAGCTCCTGCCTCACACAGATGCCTCATCGGTCGGCCAGCCCTGCCACAGAGACAAGGGAAAAGCGCTGGCAGGAGAGTCCGGGTGGCTCCTGCCATAGAAGTCTTGTTCCTAGAAGGTCCTTAGTGCCTCCCAGGCTGCAGCGCTCAAAGGATCCCACCTGCTTCCCAAGGCCTAAGAAAGGGGCTTTTGTGGCAGGCCCCCAGAGCCATCTCCCACCATTCTCTGGGATGCTTTAGGATTAGAGGAGGGAGAAGCAGCAGGTTTAGCTGGCTAGTCTGAGAACAGATTTGCTGGGAGGAGAGTTGGTTTTGTCCGGTCCTTCCTTCCTATCCCACCTTTCACACTGACTTACACAGTCCACACCTCCTTTCCAGTTTGTCCTCACAACAAGCCTGCGAGGTAGGTTGTCCTGACAGTCAGGAGCTGGCCCAGTGCCACCAGGCAGCCTCACAGCCAAGCAGGGACCAGAGTCTGGGTTGCCCAGGCTTCCACCCAACTCTCTTCCCCCAGCACTCTCTGACCTGGAGTTGCCTCGGACCACAGTCCCCATGAAGCCGCCTCAGCACCGTCATGCCCAGCCACTAGCCACGCACACTGGGCATCACGGGAGTCGTAGTCCTCCACAAGCTGGGAAGTCTTCTCTAACCATGGCCTCACACTGCCATGACACACCTCGGGCAGCGGCTGGTTGTGAGTGGAGCGTGCGTGCGTGCGTGCGTGCCTGAGGGGGGCATGTGGAAACACAGGTGCGCGCCTGCAGCAGAGGGGCTGCGCGTTGCTCCACCCTTCCCCTTCCCCCCAGGCGTGCGCTGGCGCTGGATGGCACGTGCACGGGCGAGCACGGCGTGGGCCTGGGCAAGCGGCAGCTGCTGCGCAAGGAGGTCGGCGAGGTGGCGCTTTCCACCATGCGGCAGATCAAGGCCGTGCTGGATCCGAAGAACATCATGAACCCGGGAAAGGTGTTGTGAGCGCCGGGCTGGTCCTGGCCGCCGCTGGCCGCCCTGGAGGGGACCGCAAGGACGGCCAGCGGCCGGGACCTCTGCTCTCCGAGTGTGCATTGCATTGTCAAACCAGCACTATCAAGTGGGCTCAAATAAACCCCCGAGCAGGAGCCGTGTGTGTTCATGCTGGGCTGCGACGTGGGCTCTGGTGGTCAGGCGAGGGGCCGGGTCCCCCTCTCAGACAGCGTGGCTGCCGAAGCCTTTCACCAGAAGAGCACATTCCGTCTCAGGTCAGCTCTCGGAAGCCACATTCCAAAATGCCTTCTGAATTTGGAAGGTGGGCCAAAGTACCGATACCGGCCAGCACATTTTAGCACAAAGTCCGTACGGCAGGGGAGTCCATGTCCGGAGATGCATTTCAGTCTTCCAGGATGGTGGAGGATGCTGCCCAAAAGCAGGGGGAAAACCAAATGTTCTGGAGAGGGGACATAGCTAGAGAACCACAGGGGGGCTGGTTGGGGTCACAGAGAGAGGTGGATTTGGCCCCCCGGGGGTGCAGTTGCTTCCTGGCCCAAAAGCAACACGTGTGGAGCAGTGCCAGAGTTGGGATCTCTCCCCTTCAGGGCTCGACTTTCCTTTTCAGTGGCACATTCTCGGCAGTCTTTCTTGCATTTGGGCAGAAAGATGCAAAGGACTGTGCGCGAAGACGCAGTGGCAACTTTGGGTCCCCCCCACCCAGTTGCATAACTGGAGCAGTTTGTCGGCGCTCCACCTAATGCCTGTCATTCCTTTCAAAAACCTCGCTGGCAGGTTTGCGGGGAAATCCACCAGAGCCGTGGGAAAGGCAGCGAGATGACTGCTGCACCCACAAGTATGCGGCTGAAACAAAGAGAATCGCTTGTGGAGGTCTGAGTGGGAGGGATGTGCTCCCTCTTCTATTCTGGCACTCAAACCTGAGCTCAGAAAATGTCGATTTCTTTCCACCGGGACTTGACTGCCAGACCCGCTTTCTAGAAGAAAAGCCAAGCAGGTCTCGGAGCGCGAGCATTCAGGGGACGCCCAACTTTTTAGGGACACAGGAGACAGGGTGCCCCCCCATCAGGCCCAACCTGTGGGTAGATACCGGGGTGCAGCCCTGCCCTCCACCCCCTTTTCCCCCTCTGTGCTAAAGGGGCCACAGAGAAAGAGCCAGGCCCAAGCGTGGCGATTTCATTCAGGCTGTTGTGCTGTGCCGGGTGCCTAGTTCACCCTGCCCGTTGTGTTGTGTTGTGTGGTGTTGCCTTAACCCAGACAGTGTGGCTTGTTGAGCAACCTAACAGCAGCCTGGGGTTTATTGGAGGATTGGGCGCCTTCCCTTGAGCCTCACAGCCTGGATTCACACGACGATGCGGTCCGCACGAGCGAGTGAGGTCAAGAAACAAAGTCACGCCACCTTCTCTTGCCGAGATCGTGTGAAGCGTCTTTCGTGCACCTGCTCGCTCTTCTCTAGCTCAGTCTCCTCTAGGTCTTCAGCCCCACGGCCTTCCTTCAGAGCCCTTCTCAACTGAATCCATGATTCCTTCAATTCAGTCTCCTCTTCCTCACCCCCGCCAACTGCCAAGTTCAGGGCCTTCTCAGCACACGGTCTTTCTTGGTCTTTCTTGCCGACGGCTTCTCCAGAGCTCTTGGCTTTTAGCCTCCCACCAGTTCTCAGCCAACTCTTGTGAGGTTTTAATTCCAGCCAAGCAGACAGCTTTCCCATCACTCCCGAAACTGGCGACAAACTGTTCCCGGAGCAGCTCACCAACGGATGGCGGGAGAGTCGGCATCGCGAGTACGAACACCTGGCCGGATGCACCTTTAAAGGCGCACAGGGTCCCACACCTTGGTCTACCCACACAAGGCGCTTTGTCTTGCCACAACTGGAATTTCTTTCCTTGAGCTGACATTTCAAGGTGCAACAACAACAACAATATACAACTGGAGACGCTTGCCATTCCAAGACAACTTGACAACTAAGAATACCACTGAAATAAAATAACAGTGACTATTTTATTGAACATTATTTAATACCATATCAAAACACCTTGACTAATAGGGGAAGTATCTCTTCCCAAGCTTTGAATGTTTTTTTTTGTAATTTTTAAAGTTTTTTTTTAACTATATAAATACAGATACCTTTCCTGCTGGGTGGAAGCAGGGGCTTTTCCCATGGCTGGATCTGTCTCCGTTCGTGCTCAAATGTGGATCGGTGAGGGGTGTGTGTGTGTGTGTGTTAAGAAAAATCGCTGCTTATTTTCCACACAGGGCTGAGAGAGTTTCGGGCATTGTGGCAGCACACTTGGGAATGGCAACCACCATTCGGGATGCCCCCAAAGCTGCCCCGGAGTGGGGAGTTCAAACCGAGACCAAGAGGAAGGAAAAGCCGGGGGACTTTTGGCAATGAGGCGGGCTGTCCCCTGGGCAAGGCCGGGGGCGCAGGGAGAGAGGCCTAGGGGTCTTCAGCTCTAGCCCCCGGCAGGGGTTGGAGCCACGAGGCCGAGAGGAAGCAGTCTTGTAAACATCACCAGGAACAAACATCAGTTGACACGAAATGGCTGTTTTGTAAACACTTGAAAGACAAACCTACAACGCCTTCGAGAAACAGGAAATGCCCTTTCCTTCCGCAGGTTGTGGCTGAGCAGAGTGGGAGGGCCCCCCTTCCTGTTCTGAGGGGGAGAGAGAGATGGGGTCCCCCGCCTCCGCCCTGTCAGGACACCGGTGTACCCACCGGGCGGGCGCAGGGCCGGACAGCAGGGACTCTCAGGCTCCGTTTGGCTCGCGGCCGGGCAGGTCCGGCCAAACAAACATCATGGCGCGCGGGGAGGGGGGGCGGCAGCCGGTCGCCGACGCTGCAGCACTGCTCTCTTTCCCGGGCTGGTGGTGGCCACGATCCGGCCCTCAAAGGCAGCAGCTCCTCTCCAGGGGTCTCGCCTGCCCTGGCTTGAGTTGAGGCGTCAACACGAGCCCCCTACTCTCATCCCCGTTGGTTCCAGGTTCCAGAGCTCGTGAGGAGGGGAAGGGGTACGTGGGAAGGATGGATGGTGGAGGGGACCTGATGGGAGAAAAGCAGGGTCAGGGCCTGACGGGTGCGGAGAGAGCTCTGCAGGAGCACAGAAGATGGTCTTCTCCGTTCCCTGACTGCCCGGGAAGCAAATCAACAAATCCGTCGATGCAGCTGCACAAAACATGGCGCAACCTCCCCCAATCTTCATGGCTACAATCACCCCAGAACGAGCTGCGGCATTTGCTTATGGACTTCAGTGTCTTTACACCTGAGAAGGAAGCATCAGAGTGAGGGTGCATCTGCTTGTACGATAATTAGCTGGAGAGCAACAAGGACTCAGCACGGGTTAGGGTTAGGCGACGGGGCCCCTTCTCGCCCTAAATTATGCTGCAGAAATGAAGAATGCTTGGCATGACCAGGAGCAGACCTGTCTGCCATTCAAGTTCGGGCATTAAAAATGAATGCCTGGATTCAACATTATTTGCTTTAAGGGTGCTTCCTGAATTTTTTTTCTTTTTTGTGGGGGAGATCCTAATATTAGCAGTAAAATATATGGGGTTGTACTTCATATTAGTTCTACTTACAGCAAACCCACTGAAATGAATGAGACGAAGACTAACGTGGAAACAACCCGCTCGATAGTCACAGTAGGAAAATGAAAATGGCAGAAATGCAAAAGATGGAAGCCGCAGTGGGAATTACAAGGAGAAGGGTGTTTACAGGAGGAAGACTCCATCGCCTGGGTGCTCCAGAAAATTATGCGAAGGCGGCTGCGGGGTGACGTGGCAGGTGCACAAAACAGCCTTTGTCCCGGTGCTCGCCTCTTGTACCAGGCTGGGGCCGGGAGATGTCAGGCTCACAGTAAAACAGAACCCCGAACAGAACAGAGTTTCCATTGTGCACGTCTTCACTCCGTAACCCCCTCGGCGAGCCTTACGGCTGATGGGGGGTGGGGTAGAAATCCAACAAATAAATAAATAACCCATCAGCAGATCTCTGCCAAGCCTGCAGCTCGCGTGCAATCCTGAGCAAAGACTCTCGGCCATGGGTGTCTCACGGATCCCCTCCTTTTGCTCTGCTCTGGGGTCGCACTACATGCTAAGTCTCTGGGGGATGGGTCAGAGCGGCGGATGCCCCCCACTTCCCGGGGGGGGTATACTCCCCCCACAAGAAGCCAGGACTTATTGTAGGGTTCAGGAAGCAATGGGTTCCCACCAAGCCAAACCACGCAAGACAGGATGGTTCCGCAGCCCAGGAAAGGGCAGAACAGAGTTGCTTTGCAGACACACTTAAACTCCACGAACAGTCATCTTGAGCTGAACAATCTCCTACTGGTGCTAAAAAAATGCACCCCATGTTGCAAAACAAGTGTGACAAGCTCTAATTCTCCTTCTGGCGGATTATTTTAGAATGCTGAGATGCATTTTGAAACACAATGACTGGTGGGAAATTTCACGCAGCAAAACCCCCCGCAAACTTTGGTGCTTCTGCTCAAAATGTGTCAGCTTCCGAAGCGGTAGATGGCAAGGAGGAAACTGGGACTGTGATCAACACCATGTTCTAGAAACTTGTTTTCACCTTTTGTGGTAATGTACCTGTTACTTCATCGTTCATTTTAAAAAATACCAACCTGTCCTATCGCAAAGGACCAAATGGTATCTTTGTTCAATAATTCTGAAAAATTATGAATTCTTTACAGGGCCAGCTGATCCTTGTGATCACTGGGTGAGCAAGAATAGGGCCTGTACTGTGTTGGCACCTGGTATGAGGAATAATTTTCTCCCACATCCTCTGAGATGAAATATCCACTGATTCTTGTTTTTAGCCACATACTAGCCTTCTGTCTGTGTTATTCTTATGGATAAGTGGATGCAGGATATTCCACGTATTGGCTGTATTTTTTTGTGCTTTTTTGATTTGTGATTTAAAATCTGCAGATCTAAGTGGTTTATAAGTCATTGCAAATAAGCAAGACACTCGCTCCACCAGGTCTGGCTGTTTCTTTGTTAACTGCAGCATAGTTAATAGTTCTGAGACATGCCTAGGTATTAGTAGGAAAATGTCTCTAAAGATTAGCAAGATAAGGAAATGTAAGCCGGGGGCGTTTATGAGAGCTTGCTTCCAGTTTGCAACCTGTGTATATCGAATAAGATTTGCAATTACAGAGCTCTTCAAATACTGCGTTACTCTTTGTTGATTGCGAGCAGATTTTGTCTGGAGGTTGATGATATATCTCTTTTAATTTCCGTCTGAACGATGCATTGTGATTGCTTTGGGATTCATCTGTTTGGGATACAAGGGCTCAAGAATTCTTAATGTTTCTTTTTAAAAATGCTGCACTGGGTAACCTTCACAGTTATATAGAGTGTTTTGATCTAAATTGTGGTGAACTACGCAGATCGCTTTGTCTGCAGGGCAGTACAGAAGCGCACCAGATGCTCCTTCTGTTGTCCCTCAGGTGTTGTATGTCAGGAACATGAATCAAGGGTGCCTTCTCTCAACCAGACATTCATCGTGCACTTTGGCTCCCCCTCATACAGAAGCTTGCAGGCCGCCATCCGCCTCCAGAGGTTCTGCATTTCTCAGCCTTCATCACTAGACCAGGGAAGCCTAGTATTACATTTCAAATCATGAAATCTCCGATGCGGCAGCTGTGACACAGAACCAATTTGGGGCTGCTAAACACTATATGTAGACAAGCACAGAAATACAAACCCCAGGAAAAGAAACTCGCGTAAAAGATGCTTCTTTCCTTCTGCAAAGAAAAAGGAAGCTGCTGCCTCAGTAAAGCCGGGGCTGAACCTTAAAAGTGCTTGGCCAGTTTGCAGTGGAGGAGGAGGAGGGAAGGGGAGGGAAGCCTTTTCCAGGCAGCCGGAATGTCAAGGGGATTTCCGGCCCATGCCAGCAAAGCCTCACCTTGGGAAAGGTCAGCGAACATCACCAGGGTCAATCTGAAGGGTGTTCCGGGCAGGATCTGTTCACTTCGAACCAGGAATCTATACAACTGCACAAGAGAAGGTGGGCATGTCAGAAAAGAGCCCGGCGAGTTTCGAGGGCAGGCTGTCTCGAGGCTCAGCACCTCTCTAGACCGAGCAAAGGAAACAGCAGCGCCGCCTCGCACAAGGGTCTGGGGGAGCAGCAGCGGCGGCGGAAGTCTTGCGCTTGTAAGGCTGCCCCTCCGGGCTTGCTGCATTTGAGCTGACTGATTTATCTTAGGGGCTGGGGGGTATTTTTTTGCAGGGGTGAACTAACGTGGTTCAAGAAAGGCCGCGCAACATCCCACACCACTGCCATCCGAGTGAACCTTGGCGCCCCAACCCTTCGGGGTTACTTTGCTCTTAGTTAATTGCAGTTCATCGAAGCGCCTGCAGCTGTCTCTTCGGTCATGAGACAAGCGGCACAGTTTGAAGCCCAGAAGACGAACTGTATCTCCTCTGCTGAGGAGCAGCTCCCGCTAAAGAGGAAGGCGTGGGAGACTCCCTGCCCGAAAGGACTGTGCCCACGAGTGCCAGCCGATCCCGGCCTCACGCAGATGGGGCAGGCCCCACGTGCAACGGCTGGGCTCTTCCATGGGACGGGACGGGACGGGCCGCTTGCCCCGCGTGAAGGCTGGGCTGCCCACGAGCGCAGGAGCAACGCAGGCCGCCGCGGGACAGGCCGACCACGGCAGGGAGCCTCCGCGACATGCCGGGAGCGCCCAGACGCGTCTCCACGCCGTACCTTTTGTGGTAAATGCACAGGCAGGGAAGGCGAGCTATCGTGTCCCCTTGCAGGAGCTCCTCCAGGCAGATGACACATTCGCCCGCGTCCTTCGTCAGCACGTCGTCTGCGGGGAGAGAGGGAGAGAGTTGGACAGATGCTCCCTAAGGGAGCCGCCCTGCCGAGAGCTACAGCTCTATTGGATTTATACCCCGCTTTTTTCTTGCAACACTCAAAGCGACTGACACGGTCCTCCTGCTGCTGCTCTCCATCTCACCCCCACAACAACGGCTCCGCGAGGCAGGTGGGGTGCAGAGGAGGGCAACGGGGACGATCCAGGGCTGGAGGCAAAGCCCTGCGAGGAGAGATGGAAGAGCTGGGCATGTCCAGCCTGAGAGGAGAAGACGGAGGGGAGGGAGGCGACCACTCTACCCGTGCCTCGAAGGCTGCCGCAGAGGAAGGCCAGGATCTCCTCTCCATTCCCCCAGAATGCAGGACATGGAATAATGGGCTCCAGTTACTAGAAGCCCAGGTTCCGGCTGGACATCACGACTGCTGGGGCAGTACAACCATGGGGCCGATGACCCAGGGAGACGGTGGGCTCTCCCACGCCGGAGGCATCCAGGATGAACTGGATGCGCTGAGCAGGGGGCGGAGCTGGTGGCCTTCTGTTCTGTGTTTCCGTGGAAATACATGGGCTTCAGTGATCACTCCCAGGGCAGAGATGGGCCACCCAGTGGCGCTGCAGATGTTTTGGCCCAAAGGTCCTCCATCATCCACTGCGTTGCCTGGGAGTGGTGGGTTCAAGCCTGTGAGGGAGCCAGAAATTGCCCGGCCGGCTGCAAGGCATCATTTGCAATGCAAATTACTCTGATGCCCACGAAGATGTTTTCAGGCGCATTTTCCAGCCCACATCACTTGGAGCTGCATTCATCAGGCAAAGCTCTGGATTTTGCTGCACTTAACGATACCACGTTTCATGTCATGAAAAGACAAAAGGGACAACCACACCACTTGCTACAAAAGATGCAATAGTGACTAATGGGCATCAGCCACAGTATCGTTCAGCTGACTCAAACAGCGCCCCTGGAGTGCCACTGAGCTTCCCATCGTACAAATGCTTGTGCGTGGCACTCGCACAATCCAATCCGCGGTGCGCAAGTATGACTGACAACTGTGCAATCACAAGGCTTGCAGAAACAGAACTTGTGCCGCACTCTCCTCCTGCGCAGAAATGGGTTTCTGCTGGTGCAGCAGTGTTCACATGGCACCACTGGATTGGCTCTGCCTGTCCCAGCCCTTTTCAGACAAGTGCTGTGGCAAAGTGCCGGCGGGCTTTCCCACAGAAGCAGCCCTGTCGCCTGGGCACAGAGCCCACATGCGCGATGCACGGAGACCACCGGTGGCGGGGGGAGGAAGGGCTGCTCGAAGGAGCACCCAAGCCACTGTGCCGGGCACGCCCAGGAGAGGAAAGCAGAGCACACCAGCTCCGCCGACCGGAGGACGCTTGGCACCGGTCTGGCAACCCCGGCAGAAGTTTTTGTTTATTTGTTCATTTAAAACTTTTACATGCCGTCCCCCATGCAAGGCATCTTGGGACGGCTCACAATCAATATGTTAAAAACAATCAATAAAATGAATTGCATTAAAATAAGCCAAGCAATAAGTAACATATAACCAATAAAACGGGACTGTTGCATTAAATATAGTTTTTAAAATACCAGTTAAATAAAAAGGTCTTGACCTGGCGCCAAAAAGAGTATAAGCTTGGCGCTAGGTGGACCTCTCCGGGGAGCGCGTTCCACAATCTGGGTGCCACCGCAGAGAAGGCCCTACTTTTGCTCTCCACTGTTAGCACGACCGTGGTTTTGGAGAGGCACTTCTTATCACATCGCTCTGCAGTTCGGGAGCATTTCCTTTGCCCAGTTTGTTGGCCTGGACTGGTTTGAGCATCACACTCACAACACGTCTGGGACCCTCCGTGCCGTGAATGAACAGGTCTGGCTACTTCATTCTGTAAGCTCGTTATTCACTCAGAAACATCCATTTCAGGACGATTCCTCTATCCGCCCCCAGATGAGGGGGCACGACCGAGGCACTTTCGCAGCCGCTTTTGCTTTCCTTGTTTAAACGCGAAGCTTGTGCACTCAAGGGAGAAGCATCTTCTGTGGAGCCCACGTTCGGCAAGGGTAACAGTTGAACAAAAGACCATACGGGGTGGGGGGGCTAAACAGCAAGGGACTGAGCGACAGTCCGAGCAACGGGGGGGGGGTTGCCCCTCCCAGCGTGGACCAAGGCAGACAGCCTTCCGCTGTCCTGCTGGGAAGGCGACTCTGGGGGAGGCCTGGGCAATCTGGGGGCGGAGAGGGGAGCGGGCGCCGCGAGGGGCTTCCGCGGGCGCAGCTGCCCGCCCGCTCGCCTGCCCCTGGCAGGCTGCCCCGGCCGCGAAGGCTCCTCCTGCCGGCCCGATTCCGGCCCCGCTGGGGTGCATCTCCTGCAGCACCGGGCGAGTGACGCCGGGCACGGCAGCCGGCTGGGGCCCTGGCGGGCGCGTGGGCCAAGCCAGCCGGCGCAGCGGGGGATGCGCCCTGGCGGGGACGGGCGGGAGGAGGCCCGCTGGCTCAGGCGCGAGGAGGGAGGCCCCAGCGACACCCCCAGCGCCCAGAGCTCGCCGCACTACAACCCCCATCTGGCTGTGCCGATGGGAGCTGCCGTTCCACGGCAACTGGAGGGCCCCGGCTGCCCACCCCCGCGGGAGCCCGAGCAGGGAGCCAGGGCTTTCGACCTGGCACCCCTCCGCCGCGACTGGGAGGGGCGCAGGCCGTCCCGGAGCCAAGTGAGGGGGCTCCTGGGGCTGCCCCAAAGCGGCCGCCCGGCCAGCCCTCCCCCCCGCCTCCGAGCCGGGCAGACTTACCGTTGTAGGAGAGCCGGGGCTTGCTCAGACACATGATAAAGTGCATTTCCATTTCATCGGAAGCCACAGATTTGGAGCAGATGGGGCACTTGAAACCTGCAGAGGGGCAGAAAGCGAAGCCCAGCGGGTCAGGCGGGGCCTCCAGTGCCCCCCAGCGGCCGCCCTGCCCCCCACACGCTGCCTGTGGCCGCCAAGCCCATGGGAGTCGTAGTCTAGCCGGTCTGGTGGGCTACAGGTTGGGGAGGACTCGAGGGCAGGGCAGCCTCACTCTCGCTGGGAAGGGGGAAAAGCCAGACTGCCTCTGTGGTGGGCCAGCCACGACGCTGGCGCTGGTGCTGGGGAGCTCATTTCCATCCCGCCCTCCCACCAAAGCTCTCGGAACAGTCAGTAAAAACAGGCAGCAAAAATACAATAAAATGTCATAAAATCCGAAAAACAAAAGATTACAAAATTTTTTGCCTGACAGGCTAGGCAAAAAATGACTACAAAGCACATGGAAAGGGCTACTAGAATGATGTGACGACGCTGTTTGTGTGGTTGACTTTTGGGAGGACAGTCAACTGAACGTTAGTGATCCCGAGCCCCAGGCAGGGTCCGAGTAGCCGTGCCTGGCCTGGCCTGGCCTGGCCGACTGCCGTGCTCCCATCGCCGCCAGAACAGGGCTTCTCGCATCATCTGCTACGTGAAACCTTTTGACTAAAGAAGCCGGGGACAGGACGCCCGGGTTCCGCCCAGGTGGAGCCCCCTTCCTAGAGATTCGTGTGCCAGCTGCTCTGAGGTGCCCCTCCGGTGCCCCCAAACTGGGCAGGCAGTGCTTCCCCCCGTCTGCACAAGCCACGAGAGCAGTTTTGGACTGCAGCGAGGCGGAACGTGTCTTTCCCGGACGGCACAGCACATTCCCGAGCATCGCTCCAGGCGCTCTTGCCTCCGGAGGCCACAGGGCTCATGGGCAGTGAGCCAACTCTGCAGGCAGAGGGTTGCGGGTTCAGCCCCCGGTATCTCCATGCCGGAGCTGCGTGGCACATGGGTGGAAGGCACTGCTGCCTTCGCAGCCCACTTGCGGCGACTTGCGGGCAGCTGGATTGGCACCGTGGGAACAGAACGCCGGACCAAGCGGTCCTGGGGTCTGACCCTCTTAGGCAAAGACCCGCCCGGAACCCCCCAGAGCTATGGCGGCCGGCCAGTGTCGACAGTGCTGGGCTGGATGCACCACAGCGGGACCCGGTGCGGGGCAGATTCTGATGTCTGATTTCCTTGTAAAACACACTTCCCTTGTGAATTCCCCCCACACCTTTAAAGCAAACAACTGTATATCCTTCTCCTTTGCTGAGCTTTCCAAAGCTCCTTCCCCAGCCCAGACTGATTAAGCGAGGCTTCCTCCTTGCCCACGTTTGCATTCACCCACTAACAGAAAATCCACTTCAAAGCAAAGCAGAGTGTTTCTAAAGAGAGCAAGATGTGCAAAGAGGCCTCCACGTCTCTTCTCTGGATTTGCACACCCCTCAGCATTAGCACACCCAAACCCTGCTCTCACAGCGATGGCTGAAGGCTGCACAGCCAAGCACGGAAGTGCTCCCTGGCATGCCCTCTTCCAGCAACTTCCAGCAACTTAGAAATCAGCACCGAAAAAGCAGCTCCCTTCTCGGCTTTCACCAACAGCAACTGCTCCAAGGGAGATGAGGGGGAAGCCCTGCTGAAGGGCTGCTTCATTCCCCCCCCCCCGCCCTCCCCGTCGCTTTTTCCTTGTGTGCCAAGCCGCCTTAGATTGGCGAGGCTTACGTGTCACACTGCAATGGGGAGCGTGCATCGCAGAAATATCCTCAACAGAAAGAGACGCAGACTTCTCAAGGAGCTTAACTTGATAGCGGGAGGGAGGGAGAGAACGGGGTTACAGAGGCTCCTTAGCAGGTGGGCATGGGAATGCCCCTGCCCAGGCTGGCGCCTTCCCACTTGGGGCACCACTGGGTCCCCTCTCAGGAAAGCTGTGGCAAAGCTGCCGTCTCTTGCTGAAAACGGGGAAACGATGGGCACCGTGGCCCACAGCATTCTTGTGAAGCTGAACGCAACAGAAAAAGTTTCAGAAGCATCATCAGGTAGAATGAAGCAGAATACTGAAGAGCGAGCTGGTCCTGGTTCCAGGGATTCCCAGTCTCTACAAGTCTCCTTCCTGCCAAGGCATCATTAGCAGGGCAGCTGTGATTTCACAAGAATGGACACAAAGTACATGGGTTGCACAATTCTGCTTCTTGAGACTCTAGGCCTTTAAAGTTTCTAGTCCTTATGGCTGCAAAAAGTTGCTTACAAGTCTATGGACCATGCCTGCTGAAATCTCAAGAAACCAGAGCGGGGGTGACTTTACAGTCATGCCCAGCTCCTTTGCCCCACCCCAGGGTTAACAAAATGGGCTGGGTGAAGGTTGCCACAGTATCCAAGAGAGGGTAGAATAAATGACTGAATTTGTCATTTACAGACGCTGCCCAGCTCAACTTTCCTTGGCAGCCCAGTTGGAATCGCCTGGATGGAGCAGCACAGAGCATCTGCACAGCCAGTCCAGGACGGCCTGCTGGCTTCCCTGCCCTGGCACAAGCAGCGAGAACATCCAGTCGCTCTCCTCTCCCCCTCCAGTCTGCTGAGCCGTGACAATGGCAGGCAGCCTGGAGGAAAGGCACCGGACACACGGCAGGAGCGCTAGACGCGCTGGGAAGCAACATCAAGCCTCCCTTCGGCGGAGAGGAAGTCACGCGCAGTTGCAACTGAGCTTTGCTCGCAGCCACCTCTTCTGGCTGTGCAGGTCAGCCTGCAGGGCATTTGGGGCCTCCCCCTTCTGGTGCCCCCAGGATGGGCTGGGCTCATCCCTCCCCTCCCCAGATGTGCCCAGCACCACTGCATCAGACCCGTGGCCCATCTAGGCCAATGCTGTCGACACAGGCTGGCAGCAATGCCCCCCCAACCCCGGTTTATTTATTTGGATCGCTATCCTGCCCCCTTAAGCCACTGTGGCTCTCAGGGAGGGTTACAAAGCAGATTATAAAACAGTCAATACATAACAAAAGAAGAGGCATTGATTTAACAAATATAACAGTAATGAAAGCACAACAATCGACGCAGGCAGGGAATTTTCAGCGCAAGGGACTCAGCCTGCACATTACTACACTTCAGCATCACGAAAGCTCTCCGGGTGAGTCACATTTCAAGTCGCCCATCTAGATTCCTACCAAGCCTCACCCTGCTTAGCTTCCAAGATCAGGCAGGGTCAGGCCCTTTGGGCCATGCAGCACATGCCCTGCCACCAACCTACGGCCTTTCTGGGCCAGGGCCCTGTCTGTTGATCCTCATCTTAGGTTGACTCTGGGTTGTTTCGCCCTGACACAATCCAGAATTTCCAGGCTGTGCGCCATGCTACCAACCAACAGACGGAGCGCTCAGAGGTTAGCTAAAAGCCGAAGCGAGCATTTTCTCCTGCGCACCCTCACGAGTTTCAGGTTGGAGCAACGCACGGTTTGGCATTACAAGCAAAAGGGTTCCTTCCACAAAAAAAGACTAAGGCAGGAAGCCTTCCGCCATCAGCCCCAACAACCCCCTCTCCCAATTCCCCAGTCCTTCCGCAATCATTACAACAGCAAGGTGGGGTTGCAAATTCCCAGAAACCACCTTGGTGCAGCATAAATCATTTTATGGCCCGGTCACGAACGCACAACTGCAGCCCCCCAGTGTTAGTCCTGGTGGAGGCGGGATGGTTAAAACTGCCTGGCTCACACGGGCAGAACCAGTGGCCAGCAATGCAGGCATCTTCTTGGGAATCCTCCTTCCGGCCAGCAGAAGCCTGGATGTGTCCCGGGGCAATGAAACCTGATCTGACAACGGCATGCTGCTGCTCCCAGGGGGCAACTTGCAGGGTGGGGCAGCCTGCAAGTGCCCCGGGCTCTCTGTCCACTGGGACAGTCCTGCCACTGCTCTGCTCTCCTCCCCAGGCCTTCTGACGGGGGCCCTTTGTGGCCCTACCTGAAGATGTGCAGGATCGAACCCGGGAGCTCACACATGTACAGAAAAAGGGCTGCAGGGGAAGGGCGACGACACATGTTTTGCAGGAGATGCACGGCCCTCCAGAAGCCCGCAAAGGGGGAAGCGGCTTGCTTTCGGCAAAATGCACCTGCGATGTTCCACATGCCACTGGTGGGGAGGGGCCGAAATCCAACCGGTGCACAAATCTCCCTGCAGGCGCCTGTTTGGGAAAGACGGCCTGGCAGATGTGATCATCCGTCCTTCTCGATGGCACGCTGCATCACGTCAGATAATCAGACGCCAGTTATTTGGCCCTTATTAGTTTAGCTTCACCTGGGAATACTTTAACAGACTTAAGATCTAATCTTATGCCCTCTGCTTCCTTCGAAAACCATTACAGGAAATTATCCTAGGAACAGTATTTCTGCTGTTTTGTAAGATGTTGCGCGTTATGTCACCCCAGGCTCCCTTTAGGATTTGGCTATGGATTTAGGCTCAGGAAGAAGGCTGCTATACCCGGTGAACACGGAAGTTTTTTGTTCTTTGATGATGAAAATTGCATTAACTTGTATCTTTGCTTATTTGTCCTGCAGCTTAGAAAATTAAAAGGTTAACTTGTTGTGCAACACTTCATGCTCTGCTACAATACAATAATTATTGCTATTGCTACCAGCTGCTGCAGCAAAACGCGGATTTGGCAAACGATCACAGTGCGAGAGAACTTAGCTACACTAACACTTGAGTTTAGTGAAAAAGCGAGACATGTAAAAACAGTTTGCACGCTCAGGTGCAAATGCACAAGGCACCAACTTGTGGGCATTTCCTGTGGCATGCCAAGGCACACGTACCTCAACTTTCCTTGCCTTACCAGGAAGAGTGTGCAAAGTTCTCCTCCATGCCATTTTATACTCACAACAGCAACCCTGCAGGGTAGGTTGGGTTGAGAGTCCCCAGGTCACACAGGGCACTTAGGGGCTGGGCAAGGACCAGAACTCGGATCTCCCGAGCCCCGGACCAGAACACCAACCTCGATGCCTGGGCACACCTGGCTGGTCTTCCCACACCCACATGCAGCTTGCAATTTTGTTGGGTTT